GTCCATAATAAAATAGAAAAAGAAATATCCGTGCTAACACCTGTCTCGTGTAGTTTTGTGGTGTGTGTCGTATAGAGACCCTTACATTTCCCAACTAGATTAAGATAGCTATACGATAACTACTAATCTTTCAAACGAATAAAGAAGGATCAAGCCACTCAAACATAACCTGCAAGAGCTTAGATCGGAAATAAATAGAGCCAATGGACCTAAACTACAAAGTAGTTGCCTATGGGTGCCCGAAAAGTTATTACTGGAGACCTCGTGCTCCGGCACTCACCCCTGTCCCACACCAATTGCTACCTCTTGAATGTGACACTCGTCCCCCCAACAGTGTTCTCCATATGATTTGCTATAGTAGCACAATGGGGATGGGTCTATTGTTGATGGATAAAAATTCTCCATCAATATGGATCAAGCGGAGGTGCGAGTGCAGCACGTTACATATAATACTATTTCGTACACCCCCATGCAACTACTTTGAGCTTTCGCTCCCTAGTGTCCATTTAATTGCCTACAGAAACTCAGCCCATACAAATTTCTAGTCGGCCAAAATAACACATGTTTTATTTAAATCGGATTTTGTGTTGGGCCGATGGTGGCCGTAAATTGTGTCAGCTTGACAAATCTCTTTTTTGTATGTGAGCCTCCCTATAAAGTGCAAAAACGCGAGCGTTAGCACATCCTTGCATGTTTTGCAACTTGTGTGAAAACTGCACCGTCAAATAATAAAAATTGACTGAGTTATGGGCACTCGGCGAGGTGGCAGTACCATTGTGTCCAGGAGTGTACATGTATGTCGAAAATATGCGCTGTGCACTGTGATAATGTCTTAATCCTACCTACTGATGGAAATATAGTACTTTGAAGCTCTTCTAAACATATTACTATTGCAAAGGGATTTGACAGTCCTGACGTAATATACCGTTCGTGCCGTAATTTTCGAACGTATATTTTAGGACGTTAAGGAAATTTTTAAGACAAGAAGTTAGTTTTGCTACTACATGGATAGTATATTTTTTATGGAAGTAGTGCTTCCAATGATGATGTATTATTCCAATTCATCGATGCTGACAAAACGGCTTCAAGAACTGCGCAGGCCAATCAGTTCGATCCAGATGCGTTCACAGCCAGACCCGCCGTGAAAAATTCAGCGAACTTGTCGAAAGGAATGAGATCCACTCGGTCGTAGAGGTCGACGTGCCCAGCACCAGCCACCCAGTACAGCTCCTTAGGCTCGGCCGCACCAGCATATGCATCCTCACTAAACTCGCGTGAGTGTGTTTGATCTCCAGTGACGAATAACAGCGGGCGTAGTGAGATGGTGTCGATGTCATTGAACGGGTAGAAGTTCATGAACTTCACAGCACTTGAAAGTGTCAGGTGGGTAGTAACGTTTGGCGAAGAGCCCGGGGGCGTGTACTCGCCTCGCACCGTCCGGTAAAAGTCGTAGAACTCACGCTGAATATCAGGTGTATTCGGCGTGAGCTCGTGTACCGTGCCACTCGTATACTGCACCTCGCACCAGCAGCTTCGATGGAGCGTTGGTGTGACATCAGATCGATGATCTCTTTACGTTGCTCGATGGTCTGAGCATGTCTCAAACCGTTGCGATTGTTGGCGCCCATGTCATACATTAATGATGTGGCAATGGCCTTGATGCGTGAGTCGATCTTGGCCGCACTGATCGCGAAAGATCCACTGCCGCAAATACACCAAGAACACCGATGCGATCACTGTCAACGAAATCTTGCAAGGTGAGGTAGTCGACTGCAGCGCTGAAAGACTCAGCGTACAGATCTGGCGAGGCTGCATTCCGTGGCTCTCCTTCACTGCCACCCCAGTAAGAGAGATCAATCGAGACGGTGACGAAGCCCTCCTCGGCCATTTTGGTGGCGTAGAGGTTTGCACTCTGCTCCTTCACAGCACCCATGGGATGGCCGACGATAATCGCCGGGGCGCTTCCATTCGTGTCGAGGCTCTTGGGGGTGAAGAGATTGCTAGCGACGCTCATCTTAAATTGGTTTGAGAACGTAATGGGCTGGATGGTTACGTTGTTGCTGCGGTAAAAGTTGGCGGCGCCAAACGACATGTTCTGAGCAGAAGCTGTCATCGTGCGAGCAACAGCAATCACACCAAGCGCGGCGGCTATGCGGGTCCCCACCATCGTTCCAATTGTAGTAGGGCTGAAGACTTGAGTGTTTCAAAGAAGAAAAGAAAATGCCTAACACTGAGCATCTCTGCTTGCGTTCAATCCATTCTCTTACGAGGGCAGGGTTCATTTTCCAGCTTGTATAGTAGGAAACTAAGAGTGGCCTTCATAAACAGACAACTTCATAAACTTTAGTAGACATATGCACGTACTGGACGCAGTACACAAACACGAAGCAAGTACGTACTGCATTTCAGTACAGTAGCATCCTCTCGAACAACCTCTATTTAAGAATGGTATAATTTATTTCCTGGCAGTGAAGCGTTGGACACTGAATGTGGACACTGGGACCAGAAGGCGGCGCTGGAAGACATTATTACTCTCATCAGATTTGGCAAAATGAGCATCACCAACTCATGAGTTTGGATATATTAATAAAGTAGTAAAGTTCATTTTAAACTACTACTTCCTCCTTTGCATTATGCGATAACATCCGTTTACTGGTAGTGCTTCGTTAGAAGTTACTATAATATATCTTGGCACTCGCTTTTGTTATCTCCATCATATTTGTTGGTGTTGGTGTTGGTGGAGAAGTTCGCACCGTGGTCCACGCAGTCCAGTAGCGGCAACTCATAAACCCCTTACAGCTAGAATGACTAATCCGTCACTGGCAAATTCAGCAATAGCGAGCTGTAGAAGCATTTTTTATTACGAGCTTCAAGTATCGTGAGCACATCTTGCGTACCTTAGCTCGAAGTTTTACGTAACAATTAAGAAAGTGCTCAAATAATTCTTGGAGCATAGAGTTAAAGCTTCTGTGTTCTGTCACGGTGTACAGTTAGACGGTGGATTAACGATGCTGGCTGACTGCCTGCAGAAGGTCTACTCACTCCAGACTCTCCGGACCACGTCCAAGCAAGCGGGACCTGCGGCCAAGACAGTGACGTTCCAAGTGTGAAGTCGTGGAGCAGCTGGTCGTGGCGGGAATTGGAGCTGGACCGCCACGCACGAGGGATCTGACAAAAGGTAAGAAGCTCTAAAAACTCTTAGCGAGGTGAAACGAGGAGGTCAGTCGTGGATTTCCTTCTAACAAGAAACACAAGAATATATCAACTTTTACATTGCTATCACAGAAGAGTCGCAGATACTACTACCTCCTACGTTGAGCCAAGATACTCACGACCCCGATTAGAGGAAGAACGCGACAATTTGGTGGAGAAGCAGGGTATCTTCTAGCCGAAAATTCGCAGGAGTACGAGCGTAAGAAGTAGGCATGTCTAAAGGGGGGCCAGGGTAGAACGGCAGACATTCTCGCACAGCCTGAGTGGTAAGAAGAGGGCCGAGCGACGCGATTCGGAGACCAGAATAGCGGTAGAGAGGTAGTGTCTATTCGTCGC